GCAATATGGTTCATGGGGTCACGAAGAGTCGGACACGACTTAACGACTGAACAATAACAACAGCAACAACAACAAATGGGAACTACCTATATTATACCCTACAACAATAAAGTAGGGTTTCTGGATTCCTTGCGATATCTGCTGCTTGATCTGGGCTACCTCAAAGGGCCGGCATCAGTCTTACAATGTAAAACATCCCAAAGGAAAGCGGTAGAAAAGTGGGGCGAGAGAGGAATGGGCCTAGCAGCAACAAGAAATTCATCTTTTTTATACTGAAGCAGCTACTGTATTTCTAGGCTACTGCTCCTTGTGATGCGTTCACCCATACATCTGAACGCATCTTTCTTGGTCGCCACCAGACTACCTACCTCATTTAATTGGGAATTTTTTTTTAAAATAGTTTATCTAGTTAAAATAAATTAAATGAGAAGATGGCATTATGCAAAGCAAAGTGTCCCCGAACAGCATCCCTTCCACGCTACTGGCGTGTAGCTGCACCCCTGTGCTTTCTTGGGAGACATAACCCGATGGTCTTCTGACAAATGGATGTTCTACCTCCATCGTGACAACCATTTGGTGATAGTGCCCACAACATTTTGGATCAAACCTAAGGTTCAGCCGAGCCAGAGCTGGCTTTATGGTGCCCAGAGATGCTAATGGGAAACCCAATATTGGGGCAGGAGTGCTGTGGCATTCCCTGTGTTTCCCAGAAAATGCCCCCAGAACACAAATTGGCCACCGTTTGTTTTACTACAGTTTGCTGTATTAGCCATAAAACATCCAAAGCCGTAAACCAAGCAAGCCACAGCAAGGGACAGGGCAGTTTATAAGCCCAGTTACTGGATTGCTTCAACTAAGCCATCATATGTTTGGCTGGGTTTTGGTTTAATGTATTAGGTAAATTCAGACATGGTGGTTTATTTAGTAAATTGTGGTTAGTCAAATAATGGCTTAGCCCAACCAAGCCATCATATGGTTGGCTAGGTTTTGGTTTAATATATTAGGTAAATTCAGATATGGTTGTTTATTTAGTAAATTGTGGTTAGGCAAACAATGGCTTAGCACCACCAATCATGGCCTCTTATAATTGAGACTATGTATATCCATTAAGCTGGTAGCCATGTAGTAGGACATGTAGCCTTTGTAGATTCAGCATCTATGAATCTCTGCTCTTTTTTAAGGCCATCCAACATAGTGGCTGAATTTGTACAACATACCTAACCTAGTTACTGATTTAACCCATTTTCAGGATTCGCATGATAGCTTCAATCCGTGCATTTCAAACTTGGTAACTTTAACGTGTGCACTTCAACTCCCAGCATGCTGGCTGGGGGATTCTGGGAGTTGAAGTCCACACATCTTGCCAAGTCCACATAAAGTTGCCCAAGTTTGAAAATCAGTGGCTTAAATCATAAACTAACCCAATGGCCTGGATTCACACGATCCACCAAGCTACAAGAAAATAACCAAAGTTGTGCTAATTCAGCTTAGCACATTGTAGAAATGCAGTTACAAGGTGGCTGGTTCAGGGTGTTGTGTGAATACAACCCTTTTCTAATTCACAGATCAAAGGACCTGAAAGAACAGTTACGGCAGACAAAAGAGCAAGATCCTTTCTAAGCCAATATTCCTATACCAATAAGGTATCCTGTGAAATCAGCTGCAGGTCCCTTTGATTTTCAGAGCAGGTTTGGGAGACCCGAAACTTGCTTTATTCACCAAATGCAGAAGGCTCTTAAAGATCCTAGTTGTTCCTTGGAAATATTTATTTCAAGAATGGAACCAGTTGGGCTTGCGTTTAGAAATGAATGCTTCGATTCCTTCTTGCCCATCCTTCAGAGCCAGGTTGTCCACCATGACCTGCGAAGCTATCTGGTAGGCAGTGCCAATATCCTGTTCCATCTGTTTGTAAAAAGTGGCTTTCCCCAGAGCCAAAACAGCCCGGCTGCTCTCGCAGATCTTGTGGGCAATTCTCAGGGTCTCGCCTTCCAGCTGGTCCTCAGGTACCACCCGGCTGATGAGTCCGTGGAGGAGGGCATCCTGAGCTGTCATGGGCTCTCCAGTGAAGAGGATCTCTAGTGCCACCTGGAAGAGAAGGTCTGCAGCTGGAGACACTGATGCTCCTCAGCTGGCTCATTTCAAGATTCAGCTGCCCAACTGATAAGCAGGTTCAAGCATGGAAAACACCACCGGACAAAAATCCTGCATGAATTTGTGCATGTATTAAAATTGCCACTTGAAGCTTCTTCTCTAGCTACCTCTGCTTTCAGAGGAAGTGAGCTGGCATAAGGAGATAGGACCTTTTCCTTGACTTTGGAATTAGGTGGCAACACATAGCTGATCTTGGCTAATTTGTAAAAGCTAAGTAAGGACAGATCTGATTAGAATTTGGACAGGAGACCACTGGAGGCACAACTGGGAGCTTGAAAAACATCCTAGCAAACCCCTTCTGCATTGCAGCCAAGAAAAAAATCATGGTTATCTCCATGAAGTAACCAGGAGTCTCAAAGAAGACTGTACCTCCCAACATAGTTGGCTATACAAGTCTTCCGTGCTGACACCCAGAATTTGGAATTCCCTTTTTACTTTATTAAGATTTAGATGACAATGCAGAGTGTTTATGTTCCACTCAAGATTTCTATAGTACCCAATCACTACTTTTGTTATTGTTCTCTTGTTATATTCAATTCTTTAACATATGCTTAATCAGAAGGACATCTCAGGGAGTTCTAATTATTACAATCATGTGGAATCCTTGGTGCTCTCTGAGCTTGGTTGTTGTTTTTGGTTGGTTAGTTGTACAACTAAGTTGTTGTTGCTTGGTTAGTTGTACAACCAAGCTCAGAGAGCACTAAGGATTCCATAGTTCAACCCTGAGCTACATATATTCTCTTCTACTGGTATTACAATCATATTACAATGCCACTATTTGCTAATAGTGTAATATTAGAAGCTGTCTTGGAGATTTAGTCTGAGCTGAAAGGGGAGATAGCAATGTTTCTATAATAAAACAACCCATCATCCCTTCATGAAATTTCAGTGGCTACCACCCTGAGAATATCACCCTATCACACAACATCACTGCTTTTCTTAGGAGGACTAAGAGATCGTAGAAGCTCTCTCCCTCTGTAGCATTTTGCTGGAATGTCAGCCCGTGCAAATCCATGATTTGTCTCATCCTTCATACATTGACCACACCCCTTTTTAAAACCAACCAACAGTGGTGGTTGCCCACAGTCTCATGGCCATAAATTCCACAGCTCAACTTTGCTCTTTGTCCTGGCAGAACTGTTGACCCCATGCAACACAAAAATAGCAAGCAATGGAACATGGGGTACAAAAGTGAAGAACCAGAAGAGACCATGGACTACTGTATGGTAAGGCCTACCTTTCTAGGCAGGGATCTTCCAATGGCTACTGCTGGTGTTGAACAGAACAGACCCACGTTTACTCCAGGAGTGGCAAACCTGGATTTCTCACTGGCCACGGCAATGTCACAGCTTGCCACCAGCTGGCAACCGGCTGCTGTGGCAAGGCCATTTACTTTGGCAATCACAGGCACAGGTAGCTTTGGAAGCAACGTCATGACCTGTTAAGAAGTGTTTTAAAAAGAAAGAAAACAAGAGGTGTCTCTCTTAAAATGTGGAGATCAGAGGAAGTGATAGTTCTGCTCTATGCTGCACTGGTCAAACCACACCTGGAATACAGTGTCCAGCTGTGGTCACCACAAATCAAGGATCCTGAAGAACCGGAAGGATTGTGGAGAAGAGTGTTGAAGATGGTGAGGGGCTTAGACACTAATTCCTATGAAGGAAGATGGAAGGAGCTGAGTATGTTTAATGTAAAAAAGACTAAGGCTGAGACAAGGTAGCAATCTTCCAATACTTGAAGGGCTATCACAAGGAAGAGAGTTTGGATTTATTCTCCTGATGGTAGGAGAAAAACCAGTGGGTGGAAGCCTTCCACACAGAGAGATCCAAACTCAAAATAATGAGGAATCTCCTGGCCATGGAATAGTCTGCCTCCTGAAATTGTGGGCGCTCCATCACTGGAGATTTTCAGACAAAGGTTGCACAGCTATCTGTATGGGATGGTATGAGGATTCCTACCCTGAGCCGGGGATTGGAGTAGATGACCTCTGAGGTTCCTCCCATCCTTACAACTGTTGGAATGTAAAATCCAAGGAGTCTTATGATTGATTTCCAATTTCCAGACATCCATGTGTATTGCACCACTTCTTAAGATACAAAAAGCCTCCCCAAAGCCCACTAGATTCAAAGGGGAGGAGGTGCACAGAGCCCACAAGCACCCGTTGGCAATTATTTATAGCAACTGCATCTTTTCTGGGGCAGTGCAGCAACCCTCTGCATCTGCAGTGCAAAATCCCAGGGGAAAAAAACACCCTGAAGCATCTCTTCCCTGAACCACAGTACATTCCAAGTTACTGTTTGAAGCAAAATATTTTGCTTTGTCTATCTAGGCTTCTTCTTTTAATTTTATTCCATGGTGGAGTTAAACCTTGGGCCCTGGACATTGGAAACTTTAGTCATTCAACAATGGGGGAATGGACAGAGTTGGTTAATTAGTCCTTTATGCTGTCAGTAGTTAGATCAATATTATTTCTTCTGGAAAAAAAAGGTATTTTCAAGGGTCATGCTGTTGCATGCAGGGTGACAATTTAAAGTAACATTTTGGCACATGATGACAGAGAGAAAAGTCACTCAGTTACAAACAACAGAAAACTTTCACAGGGTTGACCAAACCATTGTGGAAACTCACCTCCGAACAGGTCTTGAAGATGTCCATGTGCTGCTTTGTGCCTTCCCTCTCAGTCAATTCCTTCAAGTCATGTCCAGAGGAAAAAACAGGACCTTCAGCTTCATAGACATTTGGGAAAAGGAGGAGATGTTTGCCCAGGATACCACAATGACCTAGTTCTCACATCACACTGAACTAGGGCATGTTTAACCATGCTTAGTGGAAAAAATACCAACGCTGGGTTCGCATAACATGCTGAAGCATGACTCACAAGCCATCATGGTTGGATTTCTGCTAATAGGTAAGCCCAAACTAAACCATATTATGGCTAAGAGTGTTGTGTGAACCCTGCTTTTGGGTTGCTGAATTCATCAGATCAAGGCTTGGTGAGGATTCAACCCACTGTTGAAGATGATAAAAGAGCTCACTACCTCCTTCCACTGCTCAAGGTCAGATAGAAGAAAATTGAGGGAAGGGTTCTAGTACTCAAACTGCCCTCCCCCCCATGGAAAGAAAGAAAGGCCCACATTATCTTTAATTACAGTCACACATGTTGATCCCAAGATGCTGGCCATGATTTCCTTTTTACAATAGCCAAGTCAAGATAACCAAGGAACTTGTATCTTCTCCTACAGCATAAGAAGATGGACTGGGAGCCATGTTGTCCCTGGAAATTCACCTGTGGTCCTCAAAGGGGGCAAAACCATTTTCTTCAGTCTTAATATTTTTATGGTGGGATGAGTAAGGGTTGCAACAGGTTATCCATCAGAAGACACCTCTTTAAACCTTGAAACTATGGAAGAGTTGGGCTGATTTTTCTCATGGGGAGCTTTAAGAGGTAAATGAGTCTCCCCATTAACCCTTAAAACCCTTCATATCTCCAAAAAATGGAGAGCAACCAGGTTATAAATTTTAGCCCTCACCAATCCAATAATGCCATATTTCCTGTGCCTCCCAGGTATAAAATAAAATGCAGCAAGAGTAGACAGTTCACAGTTTATGGGCCACACGTGACTCCAAATCATTCTTTATTATTAACTAGCCACTCAAAATTAGCAATTACCACTACTACTTAAAATATTCTGTTCTTCCTTTCAAATCCACAAAGAAAAATGCCCATTCTGTGATAGATATGCAATTATTAGAATGCAAGATCTCCTACCATCTTCTGCTGGTCCAGCTATATATCATCAGCAAAAGGACACCATTCCTTGTGTTCCTCTCTTCAGAAATGAACACATACGTTTAGAATACCTTTTCTAAACCGAATATCCTATAGACGTGTGGATGTCGAGGTGACTTACAGCAGTGTTTTCAAACTTGGCAACTTTAAGATGGGTGGACTTCAACTCCCAGAATTCCCTAGCCAGCATGTCCATCCATCTTAAAGTTGCCAAGTTTGAAAACACAGGCTTACAGGCTGGGAATTCAAGTCAACACTTCTGCAGGATATCCAGGCTGGGTGAAGCTGATCTATAAAGAAATGTTTAGGAGACTGATCAAGGATGGGATTGGGTCAGAAGATGACAAAGGTCAAGATCCTGGAAAGGAGAATACAGATTGTAGTGAAATTGTGAGCACAAAGACATCCAGACTAAGGAGAGGTTGTGAGATGGAATGGCACAATGGTTTGTTTGTTGGCCAGGAAACTGAAAGATGTGACAGAATCCAGCACAATAAATGTGGAACAGGAGGGAGGTGAGAGGAAGGAAGAAGGGAGTAAGAAAAGAGGGAAGGGGAAAATTTTGATACACTGTAAAACAAAACAAGGCAGAAGACCATGAGATGTGGTGCTGACTACTAGCTTAGCTGGATTCAGAAAACGATTGGACCAATTCATGGAAGTCATGGGGATCAATGGCTATTAGATGACCTCTGAGGGCCTTCTACTGGGAGACTAGTGGGCGTCCTTGTGCAATTGGTTTGCTGCTGCAAGAACAGACTGCTGGACTAGATGGGCCTGGGGTCTGATCAAACAGGGCACTGCTTTTGTTCTTATAACTAGCAAGGATGACATATAATTGAAGATCACATGGATTTAAGGAAGGATATCGTAGATACCGAGTCTCACAGACGCTGCTTCAAGCAAAAGATAGTTGGATCCAAATGATCAAGAAGAGGCTTCTACTCTGGCCCTTGCCAAATGTCCTCTTTGTTCATTTTTGGATGTGAATGAATAAAATACCTGAAATGATAATGACTCGCAGATCTGTGCTGTCAATATTGTGCAAAATATCCTGATGGAGGGACTTCAGCATGGAGAGGGAAAGTGCGTTTCTTTTCCCAGGATTGTTCAGAACAATGTTCCTGTAAAGAAAAATAACTTTGATAAGATGTCATGGAAAGCAGCTTAGTAGGAATGAGAATTGCTACAACAGGGGACAGAACTTTCTTCAACTCGAGGGCTGCACCCCAAAGTCGGTGTGGCCAGAACCCAAAGTCAGACTTATGGAGATGGGTGACTGAGATCTTTATGGTATGAAGTGGGTGCTTCTACACAATGTGAAATTGATGTCATATGATTATATAACATGGCTAATAAAGGTAAAAGAAATATTGTGTTCTGCATACTGGAAGCTTCAGAGAGTGTTTAGGCTTGGTTACCATCATCTTGCTGTTGGACATGCAATTCAGAACTTGGAGCATTAACTCATATAGTTTGGTCTTTTCCCATTATTCTCATAAAGTAGCAATGGGATTATTACAATGATTTTGGACCCATCAGTGTGGGTTATAGATATATGTGTTCTTCTTGGCAATATCCCCAATACTTGGAATCTGTCAAGGGATCAAGAATGGAGGCTTATTTGGGCAGGAGGATTAACCAAAAGAATTATATACAGGACTGGAAAGAGAAATATACCCCTGATTTATACCAATCAATTGTTGATATGTGTTGTTTGTCAATACTTAAATTAACCATGGGTGGGAGGGGAGGCTGACAAATGGGCAAGGAAGACGACTATGGTTAAAATGGTTGGAGTTGTTTATTATTTATTTATTTACAGGATTTATATGGCTGCCTATCAAACAATGACTTTAGACGGCTTACAACAATTCATAAAAAATAGTTAAAAACAGACTTGGCCCCCAGGTACCAGACCAAACATTTTCACAGCTCAACCCCCCTATCCTAGCCCAATGCCTAGGGGAAGAGCCAGGTCTTCACAACCCTCCAGAAGGCTAAAAGGGTAGGGGTCCATCTGATCTCCAGTGGGAGGCTGTTCCAAAGGACTGGGGTGGCCACCAAGAAGACACACCTCTAAGGTCCCACTAAATGGCAACATTTAAAGGAGGGGACTGGAGTGCACCCACCCTGTTTAACCTAGTAGGACAGGCAGATACCCTCCGGGAGAGGTGGTCCTACAAGTAACCTGACCCTGTGCCAGATATGGCTTTAAAGGTGATAACCAGCACCTGGAAAGCAACTAGAAGCCAGTGCAGCTCATGAAGCAGTGGTGTTACTTGGGTGAACCGTGGGACACCCAAAACTGCATGTGCTACTGCATTCTGGACCAGTTGCAGCTTCCAGATGGTCTTCAAGGGCAGCCCCATGTAGAGCGCATTGCAGTAATCCAAATGGGAGAGGACTAAGGCATGGGTGACTCTGAGCAAGGCCTCCTGGTCCAGGAATGGGTGCAATTGGCACACAAGATGGACTTGTGCAAAGGCCCTCCCTGGCCACGGCTGCCACCTGCTCTTCTAGCAGGAGCCGTGAGTCCAAGAGGACACCCACATTGCACACCACATCTGTACAGGGCAGTGTTATCCCATCCAGAATCAGAGATGTCAACCCTCCTGACTCCGGGGGGCCAAAAACCCACAACCACTCCATCTTGCTAGGGTTGAGTTCCAGCCAGTTTCTCCCCATCCAAGTCCTTACAGCCTCCAGGCACTGAGCCAGCACATGATCAGCATCACTTGCCGGGCCAGGGATAGAGATGTACTGTATAATTGGGTATCATCACCATACTGATGACACTGAACATCTTGCCAGCAGATGACCTCTCCCAGCGGCTTCATATAGATGTTAAATGGGAGGGGAGAGAGACTTGAGCCCTGAGGCACCACACATAATAGGGGCCTAAGGCTGAACCTCTCCTACCCCACCAGTACTGACTGGTACCAGCCATGGAGACCACTGCAAAACAGTGCCCCCCACTCCCAGTTCCTGGAGCTGGTCCTGCAAGATACCATGGTTGATGGTATAGAAAGCCGCTGAGAGATCCAGAAGGGCCAGGATGGACATGCCACCCCCATCAAAAGGGAAGGTTGGAGATTGGACAGAAGTTATCCAAAACTGTAGAGTCCAAGAATGGCCTCTTGAGGAGGGGGTGAACCACCGCCTCCTTCATGGCTGGCGGAACCACCCTCTCCCACAAGGAGGCATTTATCACCACTTGGACCCAACGATATGCCACCTCCTGGGAGGCCTTGACCAACCAGGAGGGGCATGGGTCCAGACGACAGGTGGCCACGCTCAAAGCAGTCAGGACCCTGTCCACTTCCTCAAGATTGACCGGCTTGAACTCTTCCCAGATAACTGAGCTAGGATGTACCTCAAGTCACTTCAACTGAACCTGCCCAGACAGAGTCCAACTCCGAGCGAATCCGAGTGATTTTGTCCGACAGATGCTGAAAAATTCCTCCGCACATCCCTGTAAGAGGTTCTCTGAGTCCCCCCTACCTTACTTTCAGACTTGCAAGATTGGTGTCAGCCTTACCAGGTAGACCAGACAGGAAACACAACCAGATGAGCTAATTCTACTTTATTGTAAAGCTACATTAACAGAATCTTCCAAATCTGAAAGTACAATTCTCCTGCTGTCTCCTTTGCAGCCTGAAAAACTAGGGAGGGTCCCTTCTCAGCCTCTTGCTTCACCCACTATTCAACTGTGGGCTATCTCCTCTCTTCTCCAACCATTCCTAGGCAGCATCTCTTTGCCCCGTCTCCCAAGGTCTTTCCCACACACCATTACACTTTCCCCATATTTTTCTCCCTTTTAAAATGTGTGTTATAATCATTAAGTCTGAAGTCACATTATATGACGATTATTATCTTCTCACTGTTGTATGCATGCTACTTTTATTAATTAGTTCAACGTCACAAAGTTATATGTTTTTAGAAAACCGTAAGCTTAAGGCTCCATTTTTTCCCCGCTCCTAAAAAAGAGAAGTAAAGTTGGACTGTTTGGGCCCCATCCATGCCTGGGGGTTCTGGAGGACTTAAAAGGAATCTTGGAAGTTCATATTTTTTAATTCCTGCCCTACGGAGATCAGGGGACTGCTGCAAGCAATACCCATAAATGCCTCCAGTGGGAAAAAATGTGATGGGGTTCAAATAAGTGATTTTGTGATCCTGAAGAGTGATCCAGCATCTAATTTATCCTCTGGAGATGTTCTGCAACCATTTCCTGTGTTACAAGGCACGCTGATACTGCTACCGTGTTTTCACACTCTTCTGTAGTTGGTTGATAACACCATGCAGTCACTTTGGTATAGCACAATTTCCATTTGGACAGAAACGGTAGATTATGGGTTTCACAGCATCGCAGCACCATTTTTCCACAACTACTTCTTACGAAATCTGGCACTGATGTTCAGATTGCTGTATATCCTCATGGCTAAGCCAAAAATGTTAGATCCAAAATACACCCCCCAAATGGGGTTTGGCTTATCTGCGGACCAGAGTTCAGATTTTTTAAAGCCCGTCACGGCCTTAACATTGCTTGATTTTGTAAATGAGGGTGTAACCGTTTGTAGATTCCTGCTGTGGTTAAACCTTTGAGGGTTCGCTTATCTGGGGTGACGCATTTTTCACGGTATTTTGGTTGAAATTTCGAGGGTCAGCTTAGCCACGGATGGGCTTATCCACAATTCTATATGGTATTTGAAATAAGTGCTTTCAGGCCAGAAAGAATGCATAATTAAAATTCATGGTGGCCTACCTAAAGCAAGGAAACATTTCAGAGGAAAACATTTGGTTCCTTAATTGAATAACTGACCATTGCTCTTGTATTTGCATTTCACTGATTCGGATCAAATATTTTTGCAAGCTGGAAACATTTTCCTGAACAAGACGCCGAGGAAGTGATTTGGCCCCAAACCAATTAATACAAGGCTTGTACATTGCAGTTTTCTAAACTGCAAAATCTGGAAGTTTGAGGTAATCCCAGAACATAGCCTCTCAGATAATAAAGTCAGGAAACAAAAAAGCTGGGCTCACTTCTGAATTACTTTTTCAACAGTTTTCTCCACTTAGATATAATCCACTTTTAATCCATATCTTTTACTCCTCCCCTACCTTCTCCAGTTCAGTTCACTCACTAATTCAGAGAGCAATCATCTTATATTCCCCCCAAAAGGAATTTCACATGCATTAACTGCTATCTATACTTAGCTTTCCATACGGTAACCCCCACCAACTGCTTGGGGTCTGTTTTTGAAAAATGCTGGTTGCTAAACTCGCAGTTGGCAAACTTGCGTGTATATGCCTTTGAGTCAGTGTTGACTCCTGGTGACTGCATGGACAAGTCCCTGAAGTCTTCTTGGCAAAATTTCGGAAGTGATTTGCCATTGACCTTACGGGAAAAACCTTGTGCGATTCCACTCCAAATGCTTAGTTAATGATTCGATGGCTTCTATTGACTCAGATAAAGAGGATAATTCAGTAACTGGGTTACGCAGGTTGTACAAAATGCATTCGTTAGTGTGGATTTTGGGGGTTGTCATCTGGATTCTAGTTGGATCAAGCCAGGGCTGGATTTGCGCACTGTACTGTAGTTTACTGCATGGTGTAAACCCAGCCGTGACAGCGTGTGAATTTCAAGGGCTGTACTGAAGGCTGGGGAGACCCTGGTTGGCAACTCTTAAGCAGCTGCAGTTTTGCAATGTTGCCTTCTGCAGCCACAGGGCGATCCCAGGAAAAGATGCATTGGTTTAAAAGGTGCTGGCAGGTTCTCTGTTGTGTGCACCTGCGTGCTTCTGGTCCTCCTTCAGCCATGGAAGCCGGCTGGGCGACTTTGGGCCAGTCCCTCTCTCTCAGCCCTACCCACCTCACAGGGTTGTTGTTGTGGGGCAAGAGGAGAAGAGAACATTAGGCGTACGCCACCTTGACTTGTACCAACAAAGAGCATATTCTTATTATTCTTATTGCTGTTGGCCGCACAGTCAGCCAGATGTTTAGACTGGATTTGGCATTTTTATCCTCCTATTGAGTCCTTCCCAAGGATCTGGGATAAGCATCATCATCATCATCATCATCATCATCATCATCATCATCATCCCCCCCCTCCTCCTCCTCCTCCTCCAGATCCTGGCATGCTATGGGCATTTG